GCGCATGCTACCAACATGGGAGTCCGCTATACAAAAGCACGAGCGAATCCGTTGTGTGGAACCCTCAAAAAAGGCGCGCCAATCGGATCCACTTGGCTTTTGGCCACCAAAGTTGAGCCTATAGCACAACTTTTTGCAAAGTCGCTTTTACTTTTGACAAGTTAATGTGCAAGCCATGGACTTTAGCCGAATTGAACTAAAGTTTATTACTTTGCGAACACGGCGCCAAAAAGAATGGTTGCGTACATGTTCAATTTGCCAAGACTTATTCAATCATTTAAGAAAATTTCTGCACAGAGTTGTAGTCCACGGTGATTATTGTATCTTATGGCGAAATCCAAGCCATGAAAAGTCCAAAAACTAATCCAAATTTGCATTTGTTCTTTTGGGAAAAGTTTCATTCAAGCGGAGTTACCGATCTTATATGGAAAAGCTATTGGAATGAATAGTTGTTTACAAATCTTTCGTGATAGTCGGAATAACGCGGTGAGTTTCAATGTCATTATGATGCGGGAATGAGTAAGGTGTGCAGATAGTAGGACCAGTGCGAGCCTCTGCGAAGCAGAGGTGACGCACTGGTTCCATTATAAGAGAGTTATCAACAATTAAACAGTAGGCACATTTTTTTCGGGATAGCCTGTATGTCTTGTCAAACGGCAGCATCCTATGCTCGTCAGAAAACGGGTAGGGTAACGAAGGCCGCCAGTTTAAAGGCAGTGGCTAGGCAAATCTCAACCTAGTGAGATTTTCGCTTACCTGGGGTTTTTCAACATGCTGATTCCGAAAATCCACTTTTGAGAGCTTGTAAACGCCGAAAACGAGCGTTTTTCAATGCCCTTCCCTTTGGAATTGGACGAGTGCTGCAAGGCTGATAACGCCGAATCGTTGCAGAACCCAATGGTTATAGCATTGCGGCGGGCAGCCTCCAATGGTGAGAACGAAATTGCTAAGTCTTCCGGACGCGTGTAAGATTGGCCTGCGCTTGTAAGTTTAAGAGCAATTTTCTCGGCAGGGAAGGCATGCTGTGCAAGCGGGATTGCACTGTTTTCATACTTGGGCAATAAGGAGTCTACCGCGTTAAAATTTTGTGTTGTTGAGTTTTTCCAAACCACTGCCTTTAAGTCGCCTTTCGCGGCCAAATGGTCCTTTAGCACTAATGTTGTATGTCGTTCTAAAAAAGTCCGTGGAGGCGGCCCAAACTGGCGGCTTTCGTTCCCCTACCCTCAGAACTGTCTTCACATCGCACGCAGGAGAAGACAGGTCAGCGAGAAGTTGCCGTATATTCGTGGCTCTCGCTTCTGACGCCTACGTTTTTCTTGTCGGTGGTTGCGTCCATAGGTGCGATAGTGCGAGAATTTGCTTACCCCCCCCCCTTCACCCCTGAACCGCGACCCAAGTGACTTCCTTCACCAAACCGAGAAAAAAAAACAACAGTGAGGTGTAATCGAAGGAGATATAGGGCTTATCAAATTGAGTGTCGTTTGCACCGGCATCTCCATCTTCGCGCTAGACTCTGCGTCTCTTTCGCAGGGCTGCTCTCTGAGCACTTTCCCAGGGCGAGCGTGGGAAAGGCGGAGCATCAATCGATTGGAAGTGATTAGGGAACATGTACCGCCGAAGAGACGCAGAGCCCAGAGCGAAAATGGAGATGCTGGTGCAAACGACACTCAATTTGATAAGCCCTATATTTGTACGGGAATTGTCTGTGTATCGGAAAGGAGGAAGAATATAGACATTCACGAACTTTCAGAAGGAAAAAATAGTAGCTTCTGTGGCTATACAGCAACGTCAGCGATTAAAGTTCCGTAGTACAACGTTCCCCTCTTGTAGTTTGCCTAGAGTCCGTTCATAGAAGTACCTAGTGAAAGGGTGCCTAGTGATTTCTGGACACTTTTGGGTTTTCAACACAAAAAAATTCATAAATTATGTAGATGAATAACTGGTACAAGGAAATTGTTACCGTCGGAACCGCTTCGTCCTCCGCTTTCAGAAAATTTACAGTATGTCTGACAAGGGAAGGATGGTTGGTCGAAGTGGCCTTTTGAGATGGGTTGTACACCATGTTGGAAGGCATAAAACTCATGAAGTAATAATGAAGTAATAATGAAGCAAGCCGATGAGCATGAGCATGAGCATAATGAAGTAGTCTTCTTCAAAGTTGTACTGATTATCTAACATTACAGTGCTAAGCATGCCGGTGATGAGAATAAGTGAGTTTTGGAAAATCGAATTTTTCGTTAAACCCTAACTTTCGACCTGTGGTTCCTCGCAAATTTCATGACTCCAATACATCATATTTCCTTATCACTAACACTATCACTAACATGCTTAGCACTTTGTGGTTAGATAATCTACAACCTAGGAAGGTTTTCGTTAACTTCGAAGGAAGAAAGTGACTCCGAAGAGACCGCCCAGGATCACTAGGGGATCATACAAAAGGCTGGAAATTGCGGCTTGTACACCTTCTCGTTCCTGCTCGATAGGTTCATAGTGAAGGATGCTAAGAATACTTACGAGTAGGTAGACAGCGTGAAATCCAGAAGTTCAGAGCTTCAAAATATGAAGCTTTCTTTCAAACTGCGATCACCTCCCCGGTGGTTATGTTAATGCATGCGGCCCTTAGGCCTAAGGCATATCTCGCGCGATTCCGGTAGCTGCGCGATTTCGCACAACAGCGACTTTCGTATTTCGTCGTTAATGCGCTGCCTTTGGTCAGAACTTGCTCTGTTTGCAACAACTTACACAAGCTACCCAAATATGCGTCCCAGAAATGCGTATGATAAATTTATAGGAATTTGGCAAATCGCCAAGTCGCGTGAAAATGGCGATTTGGCCGAATCGCGTGAGGTATGCCTTAGGCCTTAGGGCTCAGACAGGCTTCACGCGATTTGATCGTCGCGATTCAATCGCTACAGACAAATGTTACAAGTTCATTGCATGCCGATCTTCTTGTATTTCGGTTGTGATAGTTAGTCACGATTAGTCGTGTTGGAATACTATCACAAACGAGATGCAAGAAGATCGGCATGCAGTGAGCTCGTAACACTTATCTGTAGCGTTTGAATCGCGATGATCAAATCGAGTGAAGTCTTTCCAAGGCTTTAGTTGGCACCCCCTCGTCAGTTTCCAGGTAAAAAATCCATGCACCCGGATCTGCCTGGAAACTGCCTTTAAAGGCACCGTCTACCGATTTCTTGACTTCCACATTTTTGTCGCTTTCAGGCCTTCTGAAGGCCCTGATTTCGAATATGGTTCGAAAATCCACGAAACCCTCAAAAATCCCGTTTCGAAGAACTCGTCGCAACAAGCGCAGGCGAGAGAAACCTGCAAAGTGAGTTGGGCGACTACCTAGGTGAGGTGACCAGCTCCAGATTCGCTCCTTTCGAAACGCATTTCTCGCTCTGCAATGGTGTTATAATCTCGTGAACCCCCATTTTGGGCAGACGGTGCCTTTAATGTCAAGTAACCTCAGCGAATAATTCCATCAAAAGCTGATTTTTTCCCTGGTGGAACTCGATGTGAGGATCCCAGTGAGCAAAGGGTGGCGCTTTGGAACATGAAAGATTTGTACAGAATTTGATTTTAACGAAATTCAACTGACGCAAACGTTAATCATATAGGTGGTCCGCGCTGGGCGCGGAGAGTGCGCAAGGTGTGTATTGCGCGTCACTCCTCTTTCCCCTTGCACTCTCGCCGCCTTATTTTCTCTGCGCCCGTACTATCTTCACTGTACGCGACAGCGTTGCTCTCCGCGCGCAGCGCGGACGGCCTATAACAAAGTACGCAATACTGTAGCGAAATTGTTCATAACATTTATTCTGCGGAAACAGGAATGCTGTAGCGACAGCAATGCAAACAAATCAGCCGACTTGGAAATGATAAGGAGCATGCGGTTGAAAGGTTACTGGGAAGAAGTTTCTCGAGAAATTGTTCAGCCGTTGCTTGCTATAGAATTCGAATCATCACCGTAGAAAAAAAGAAAAGAATAGCTGTAGTCTGAGCAATCTCTGATGTTTTTCTTTTTGTTCTCACAATCAGGGTGTTTTGTTTTTTTTTTCATTAGAAAAGCATCTCTCAAGGATAAAGTTGTTGAAAGTGATTTTTACACCCTACTATACCCTTTTATACCCTACTACACGATTTGTTGACGCTGAGAAAAAACAAACTCGATGTATCGATGGTTCGTAGGCCTTAGTATGGCCTGAGGCGAAATAGCGCCTCTTGATTTGTGTTATATAGAACACGTAAGCATTTAAGCTTTATTGAGTCAGACGACGTGCACGTGTTAGTGCAGTGGTAGAATGCTATAGGTTATAGGCGTGGCGAAGTATGTTGGTGAGATCTGGGCAGTAAACAGTCTTATATCACAGCAGGTCATGCTTATGGCATGACCTTTACGGCACTTATTCAGTGAGATGCTGGTAAAGTGATACACATGTAAAAAGGTGCCGACAATGTCGGCACACTCGAAGCAATTTCGTAATTCAGAGTCTCAAAAAAATTGGAGGGGATCAATGCGAAAAAAAGAATATTGCAAGTTCCTTGTAAAGGTTAAAGATTTTGGAAGCGAGGCAATGTTTGCTTCGGCAAATTGTGTAATCAGCCATCAATAAACATGCCTATCAAACTGACCACGTAGCAACTGGAACAAGAGAATGCAAAGAGAAAACTGAAAAAAATCTTTATTTACCTGCAGCCATAAACAAGAGAAAGGGGAAGGAAATCTTAGAGAGGGTCAATATTTTACAAATCCATAAGAATTCTTATCCATGAATTTTGCTGAGGAGCGAGCAACAAAAAAAAACAATGCATGCTGTAGCTACCACTGCTGTCGTTCTAAAATATTTCCAGACTGTGAATTATTGCCCGAATTTCTTTTCTCTCTTATTTTCTGTGGCTCTGCCATAATTACAAAAAGTCAAAAGGAAATGTCGGTTATTTTAAGATGAATTACTTGCATAATTTTGTAAATCAAGCAGCCCATATTTTATTATAAATCTCTGTGTCCCAAAATGATATACTGATGAACAATTTACCCATAAGATATATAAAAAGCAAATAGAATTTGAAAGTTGGAAAGGTGGAATTCTACTCATGAAATACTTGATTATGTTCATGGCAAAAAGAGTTTTTTTTTTCGATGAGACTTTTCCGAGCATTTGATGGTTTCTAGCTGAAGAAAGCGAATAGCAGAGACAAAGTTATCTCAATATCTTTCTCCATAGCTGAAGTAAAATCGCAACCGAGCAAATTTGTTGGAAAAGGCGCTGATAGTCGTGATCAGCGGAAGAAAAGCGCAGACATCATAAAAGACGTCCGAAGCAATGAGCACATCCAGGTCTGGGAGGCCATCGAGGACTGCGGCTATGCTCTCGGACCTCTGCCAGTCTAAACTCTGGATTAGCAAGATGAAACTATTCGTTTTTACGCATAAGGGATAATCGAGTGAAAATGACATTACATACTTTTGCTTCACAATTTCCAATTAAATCATTTTTGTCGATGTTTTCTTGAAGCAAGGACAGCACCTGAAATTTTGCTGCATTTGAAACTAATTCTATAATGTTGCAGCTAGTGAGATTACCAGGCGATCTGCTATTTGCCAGATGTCTTCAAATCAACCTGATAGAATACCGAGTACGTATAACTTTCATAGACTGGTAAAATGCCCTTTCTGTACATCTGAAATGCGCTTATCCTTTGATTCAACTGACTTGGCTCCTAGAAGGCGGGGCTTCATGACCTAGTTGAGGCTAGGTCAAAGAGCATGCGCGCGAGAGACGCAGAGATTCGTCGCGGGCGCGAGCGGTCTAAACTAGGTCACAAAGCCCCGCCTTTCAGGAGACAAGCCAGTTGAATCAGAGGTTACATGAGTTATGGACGAATGGAGTATTCCAGATAGCGTCGCAAGCAAAACCGCATGAGATATACCCGGGACCTTAACTTTTCTTTCATGTAGATGCCAATTCACAGTTGTTACACCATCAAAATACATTTACGCACCAAGAATTCAAAACAAGTAACAAAACTTGAAAGTAGTGTAAAAAGTGAGGTAAATTTCGATGTGAAGCCATTTAATGATTGAGGAAACCGAGACGTAGTCGCAATTCAAGTGAACGAGACGTAGTCACAATTCAAGTGAATGAATAAATGTTGATCTGATATGAAGAACAGTGAAGATGAAAATAGGTGAACATGCATTAATCAAATTCCTAAGATATGGGTAATTTACAGATGAGATTGCAAGAATAAAAACAGTTTGTGTTGTATGGCAGACATTGAAACCGCAGGTGACTAGCTGCAATACTATGATTCTAATGGAAGTAAAAGATGCAAATTTTGCCATGAGTTTTACTTTAGATAACAAAAAGAACATCACTGAATGGAATCAGACTGGAAGAAGTTAAGTGTTTCAAAATGCTCGGTACTGTTTTGATGAGCAATGCGAATATTGACTTTCTTCGCTACTAAAACGGCTGCACCCAGCGCTTTCGATTTTGCTGGACGGAAGAGATTTATGCGAGGTATCCAAGATCCTTGTATGGCGTAAACGAATCCTGCAATACAAGAACAATTACCTTTGTAGAAAAAAAAACATTTTGGGCAATATTGTCGCCCAGATTTATGGGATGACCTTTCTAGTAATGTCGAACCCTCTATAAAGAGCTATAACAGCCTGTTTCAATCATACAATAGCTGCCGGAAGGCGGGCTTTGTGACCTAATTGCCGCTCGCGCCCGCGACGCAGTCGGTGCCTCTCTCGCGCTCGTGCCCTCTGATCATTCTCTAACCTTAACTAGGTCACGAAGCCCCGCCTTCTAGCCGACAATCCAGTTGAATCAAAGGGTATGAGAGCAGGAAAACCTCTTGTAAAATATAGTGTAATCCGCCCATGTCAGCTTGACTCTAGCTATGGCGGTACTCGAGGATTTAAAACAGCAGATTCATTACTTCTACACTATTTACTGATTTCTCATAATAATAGCAGTTGTCGCAGGACACAGGAACTTTTCTTGATAAGGAGACGGATGGGCGGGGGAGGGAGATGAGCGCGACAAAAAATGATTTTTGATAAATGGGCGTTAAGTTAGATACGCGCTCCAATTTTTGTTCAATTCTTCGCAAGCTTATATCCTAAATTCTAAAGAGGATGTGGAGGAGCCATGATTTGCAAAATCTACGAAATGTTTTAATTATTTACAGATAAAAAGACTTTCTTACATGATTTCGCGACAGTTGTAAAACTTGATTTGCGGCAACATTTTTTTTGTTCTATAAGTTCCATTTCTAGGGATGTGGAAGAGACACGATGGCCATAGTAAACCTATTTTTCTAGTTGAAAAGAGGGACCAAGTAGCGCGAAATGTTATTGTTTCTATCTATAGCATGCAACTTATCTTCAGCTTATTCACTGGAAAAACTTCTCATTTAAAAATTGATAGAAGGCTACCTTCTTTGATTACATCCCAAGACTTGAAAACAGATCCGACCAATACCAAATTGACTTCGGACCTCTGGTCCTGAAAAACGCAGCCTCACTTCTATTCAATATTGAACGTAGAGTTCCGATGTCTTACACTTGGCAGATGGCTAGCTGCCACAACGACGTGTTTGCCGAGAATTTCGCCAGCGTCGAAGAATAATTTATGTATCATTGGGTCATCCTTATCTAAATGTTAACGGTCAGAATACCATTTATTTGGTGCTTGATAGCTTACGTTCCGCCAAGGTTTTCGTAAACGATGCTATGTAAGACTTCTGGAATTTGCTGTAAAGGTGCTCCAAAATGTCAACTTTATCTTTGAGATCGAAATGCTGGAAAAAGTAAATGGTTCATCTTCTTTTCCGTTATAATAATCAAGATTCACCTTCAGTAGTAACTCTCGAAGCAGCTTGGTAGAATGGCAAGGAGTTTGCATACCATCATCTTCGTCAAAAAGGATGCGGATTGCTCTGAATAGAAAGAGTTGAAAGAGTTTGAAAAATTGAATATGCTTGTCTGTTTGAGATGCTAATGAAAATAGCTCGAATCTGCCAGTTTCTTTTCTTTTCAGTTTTCTGCAAATTTTTACTTTCCTAGTTATAGAATCGTAAAAATATTGGTTTAATGTAATGCAAAGAATTCGTTCTAAAAATGGTAATAAACTTACTGATTCCTAGCTATACTCTTTATGAGATAAAATGAAAGTCATATTCTATATACACTTTAGAGATTATCAAATGGTTGAAAAAAAAATTCGAACCCTATGAATGTACATACAAACCTCTGATTAGCTGAAACTTTCCTAGATAACTAACGAGGGAAGTACTTTCAATGGCCGTGGCTGTCTGATATGAGATGCATATCTTCTGAAGCAGCTTCGAACGATGATTTGAAATCTGCCTTCCGTTTCTGCGGAACGCTCTTCTGAAGAGAGTTATGGAAGCCTGAACATCCTATTTTGGGGGCGCCCCCTGAGCTTGAGGGCGTTGCTATGTGCGTTGGTGGTGCAGTAGTGTAATGGTTACTTGCTGACATTGAATGCGAGAGGTTGATGGTTTAAATCCTTTAGAGAGCGAGCCATTTTGCATATTGAATATGAGTTTAAAAGCATTCTAAATCGTCTGCAGACACTTACTGTAATGCCTTAACACAAACAGGAGAGAACATCTTTCCGACTAATGACAGTGTGCATTTTTTGAGCTTTATATGGTGACAAACGTGCTACGCCATTCGCCGTTCGTTCCTGTTTTACTACTAAGGAAGTCAAATAGAATTTCAGGCTCTCATTACAAGAGTTTTGCCAGAAAATTGTTTTTCTAGGTAACTTATGCCAAAGGCATTACAGTAAGTGTCTGCAGGCGATTTAGAGTGCTTTCAAACTCACACTCAATAAGCAAAATAGTTCGCTCTGCACAGTATTCGAACCACTGACCTTTCATCTTCAATGTCAGCAACTAACCACTACATTACTGCACCACCAATGCACATAGCAGCGCCCTCAAACTCAAGGGGCGCCTCCAAAATAGAATATTCAGGCTTCCATAACTCTCTTCAGAAGACCGTTCCGCAGAAACGGAAAGCAGATTTGAAATCAGCGTTCGAAGCTGCTTCAGATGGTATGCATCCCATATCAAAAGGCCACGACCATTGATAGTACTTCCCTTGTAAGTCAGCTATGAGATAAGACCCAAGCTCAAAGATTCAGTAGACACTTCAACAATTTTAAAAAACATACAAAAATCACTTTTTGAGCGTTGCTCATAATCAACCTGTACGGTCGCCATATGCGAACAAAGAATTTTGATTCATGCAGGTGTTAGCGCAAAATTTCCAAAACTCTTGCGTTTTTCCTGATTTTTTTTTGATTTTTCCTATGTTGCAAGACTTACGTACCGACCTAATAAAAAGGAATTAAAAAAGCCCTCTATTTACCTAACGGCTATCCAAAATGCACTACCATCGTCACCGATTATGTGTCCCCAACCACCAACACCAAATACGCGGCCATTATCCAAAAGTACGCGACACGATGAACCAGTGCCAGCGATCAGAATTATTCCACCTGCAGCAGAAAATTTTTTCTGGATATTTAGAAATATTTACAATAAAACCCACCTTTATCAAACGTAGACGCGACTGTGGCTACAGCATCAGATGCTAAATATACTTCTTCTGCTACGTCTCCATGATGAGTCTGAAGGTACTCCACAAAACGTGCGTTGTCCCGTTCTCCCTCAGCACCAGATAACCCGAGTCCCTAAATTTTGAAAACACCTCACCCACAAAATCGCAGAAGTAAGCAAGCCATTCTTGCTATACATTAAGAAGACCAATCTTCGCGTTGGCCTAATAATTGAGGAAGCCGTAAGAGCTCACCAGCCCTCTAAGAGGAAGTGAAATTTTTTGCTGAGCAGCTGCTTCTCGGACCCATTTTGCGATGTTATTAGCTGCAACTTCAATACCATCCAGGTTATAGTTCGTCCCACCAGATGTTGAGCCGCCCATAATCACTCCACCTGCATTGACGAACACCAGGTGAGACTGGGTCGCGCCTCTGAAGAAAGGATAGCAGTTTAAGCTTACAAAGAAGGACAGATGTTCGCAAAGTACACCGATTTACTCTGTACCTTCTAACTTGGAAAATTTCAACGTGATGGGATTAAGAGGCCTAAGAAATAGTCACCTATTGCTACAACTATTTCTGAATACTGGCTCAAAAAACTTTTTCATGGCCAACAATAAGGCTTTGGCCATACTTTATCCGTGTTATCAGCGTAACCACTGTTACCACTGTTACCCGTGTTACTAGTGTTACCCATGTTACTCGTGTTATTGGTGTCACTAATGTTGCCGGTTTCACAATACAGTCTCATTTAAAAACGGATAAGTACCACGAGTAACACTAGTAACACCGGTAACACGGGCAACACGGGTAAAGTATGGCTAAAGCCTAAAACGTATATGCGACAGAAAACGATGATACATTTTCGGAATCATTCCTCCTAATGGGATAAGCAGAATGACTGCACTTGATCTGATTCAGCGAGTAAAAAACCAGTGTTCATGTATTAGGTTGTCCGGAAATTAATGTCCGTTTTGAATTTCAACCGCAATAAGTCATACATTTTTCACTCTTGAATAGCTTTCAAGGTACCAATTGATAGAGCAAAGCAAGCTCTACAAGATGGCTTTCTTGCTGTAACAACAGCTCTGATCCATCTCGAGTTTCGAACAAAGAACTAAAAAGATTCAACTACCCGAAAAATCGAGAATAATCATAACTCAGTTCATAAGAATTCTGCAAAAATTCTAACTTGCTCACGTAAACACTATCCACATAAGACATGTATGTACGCTATTGCCGTATTTTTTCCTCCATTAGAAAACGAAAAAAACGAAAATGTTCATGCTTTTGTCAAAGTGATGCTGTGTCGTCCCCACATAAGTAGATGTGTACTACAAATCTGTAGAAGTACAAACGTAAATTTTCAGCTCTCTACAAGCCTTAGTTCTCGAGAAATATCAAATATAGCTTTCATTAGTCAGGGGTGGTCCAAACTAAAATTCAAATTTCTCGAAAACTAAAGCTTATAAAAAGCTGAAAATCTACGTTTTTACTTCTACATATGTATAGTATACCTCTACTCATGTGGGGACGACTCAGCATCACTTTTGCAAAAGTATGAAAATTTTCGTTTTTTCGATTTCTAACGGAGGAAAAAATACGGCAATAGCGTACATATATGTCTTACGTGGATAGTTTTTAAGTGAACAAGTTAGAATTTTTGTAGAGTCCTTACGAACCGAATTATGATTTTTCTTGATTTTTTGGGCAGTTGAATCTTTTTAGTTTTTGGCTCGAAACTCGAGGTGGATTAGAGCTGCTGCTAAAGCAAGACTACCATCTTGTAGAGCTTGCTTTGCTCTATCAAATGGTACCTTGAAAGCTATTCAGGAATCAAAAATGTATGACTTGTTGCGGTTGAAATTCAAAACGAACATTAATTTCCGGACAACCTAATACCACTATTCGCCAGGAGAAAAAGGAATCTATGTCCAAGACGATACATGTACTAATTCTCAAGGATTTCGCAATATGTTGTAAGAATTTACCACCATTTTTTTCAGCATACATTTTCAAACGTATCTTGTGGAGCTCCACCCACATCGTGGCAAATCAACGACGATATTGCTCCTAGAAGTCATAACACCCTCAAAAGGAGTGGATCGGCAAAATCGAACATCTCGAAATTTTCATATGGAAGGTTGCTTGCACTCCAAACATGAGACTGAGCAGGTCCAAGCACACGGCACACTGCCTCTGCCTAGAAGAATGCCCCTAAACCCGTGCGCGCAAGCCATCCTTACACGTGCTCGGACGAGCTTGCGATTCCCTTCTCATCGTCAGCGGAGGCATGCCGCAATGTTATAACCATGGGGACCCCGGAACGACTCTGCGTCTCTAACCATGGCTAGAACCGTTCCACTCGTCCAGATTCAGAATGAGGGGTTTTGGAAAATGCCGGTTTTCGCCATTTTTGCGCTCTTCGAGGTGGACTTTCGGATTCTGCGCGTCGAATTACCCAGGTAAGCGAAAAAACTTCAGGTCGAGGATTTGCCGAGCCACTGCCTCTAATACAATGATCCTACTATAATAACGCGCTAAGAGTGTTTACGTGTTTTTGTGTGTCTGTCTATCTGAATGTCTGTCTGTCACGAAATTCGTAGAGCGTGTTCCAGCCAACGTCCTGGGCTTAAATTTTGCATAGCACTTGCTACTGGCATGAAAGTCCAAAATGCAAAAGCACAAGCAGATTCGTTGAGTGGGTCTCTTGGAAATTGCGCGTCAAACGGATCCACTTTGCATTTAACCCACAAAATTGGGTCCGTAATTCCACTTTTTGCAGAGTAGTGGGTGTTTATGGCAAGTAAATGTGCAAGCCATGAACTTATGCCCAAATAAGTGGCCAAAAGTCCATTACTTTACAAAAATGGCGCCAAAAAGTATTGCTTGCGTAAATGGTCAATTTGCCAAGGTTCCAGAAAAGCATTTGAGAAGATTTTCGCACAGAGATGTAGCTCACGGTGAATATTGCCTTTATGGCGACTATCAAACCATGATAAATTCAAAAATCTATTCAAATTCGCCTTTATCTTCCTGCGAAAAGCTTTTTCCATGCGAAATCACCGATCTCACGTGAAAAAGCTTTCTAAATGAGTAGTCGTTTACATTTCATTCGTGGTAGTCGGCATAGCACGGTGAGTTCCAGTGCCACGATTTTACGAGAATGAGTAAGGCACATAGATAGTAGAGCCAGTGCGAGCCTCTGCGAAGCAGAGGTGACGCACTGGTGAACAATAAAACGTTGCGACAAAAAAAATGATAATACATCTTTGGTATGATTCCTTCTAATAAAGATGAGTCAGAATGACTGTACTTGATCTGAGACAGCAAGTTGAAAAGACCAATAATCGTGTCAACTACCGCTTTCGCTTAGAAAAAAAAAAGAATTCTTGTAAACGACATATGTACTTACTCTCAAAAACGCATCTTTGTTGCAGAATCTCAAGAACGCATCTTTATAGCAGAATCTCAACACCGGTATTTTTCAACATACATTTTCTCGAGCTTATCTTTGCAGAACACCAAATACATGGTTAATCAACGACGATATATTGCTCTCATATTTCCACTGCTAATAGTATTGCTGAATTTTTTTCTAGGTAAGTGACGGAAACTATCAGTAATAGAACTGGCTCGCCGGTGAAATAGGACATATGAACGAAATTGGTAAGAAAAAGAAGGGAGAATTATATGGATGATGGTAAACAACAAAAAAGCCAGAGTTCTTAGGTGACGGATTTATGCATTTATTGTGTTCTATTTTTGTAGGTAGTGAAACCTATAATAATGAATTCTCCGATTGGTGAAATCAAGAGTTTGGTCGAGCGAGTTGGAAAAAAAGCAGAAAACTAATACACTTTTAAAGATTCAGCAATTTCTTAGAATGAAAAAAATATTCACGTAACAAAAGATGGTTTCTTAATCAAACACGACATTTTTTCACTTTTGAATGCAATGAAGATTTAATGAAGAAGCCTGATATATTGTGTAAAAATTTTACAGAGAAAAAAATGGTTATACAGCTGAACAGTCAACATACCAAGATTCTCTTCTAGCTGCTTCCACCTTTACAAAATACTTTTCCCCATCCATTTCCGACAAAAAAGACTAATAATTCAATAAACTTCCAGAAAATCTTGAGATTACAGATTTATCGATTTAGAGTTTTAGTATGATAAGCAACAGGTACTCACCCCTCAATACCACAAAAAATTCCTTCAGACATGGTGTGGCGGTAGATCAGACCGATTTGGACGGTTGCACCGTCGTATTCCCTGGAGCGAACAAGGCGCGCACGGAGATTGTTGAGAGTGAGAAGGTCTTCGATTGACCAGTTATCACTGAAACGCTCGCTTTCATGATAGGCGGTTCGAGCGGGAACGGAGTGATGTTTATTCACGAGAAACACTCAAAAAGTGAACGTTGGAACTGGAATGTTGGGCATGCAAGGAGAAATTGATCGCTGGAAGCCATTAGTGCCCTTTATATACACGGTTGTTCAATCGCAAACTGGGAGGAGAAAAAAAAATAGATGAGTGGCAATATCACTATACTATCAGCTGAGTGAGGAAGTTATGAAATTATGGTAATGATGCAGGGTCGTCATTCTTGCAAAAAGATGTGCAAAAGTCAGAATTATGAAATCTCTATCCAGCAATCTGACCATCTGACATCTGTAACAAATCACAGCAAAAAAAACATTTTTCACAACCGCTTGGTTTTGAAAAGGTGGGAAATATTCGTTCCTTGAACAAAGAAAAAAGTGTAAACATGTCATCTAACTCGACGGTTTTCAATGAAAATGTAAGAGAGGGCTCTTGGTAAGCATTTGTACTAAAAATTATTAGTCAGCGACCATTAAATGACATAAAAATTGCTTTTGTGCAGAGAATTTTAGTCGTAACAAGTCCAATAACCAAAGTGCGACAATTTCTGGGAGCAAAAAAATTGATTCATTATTTGGTTCTGATGAAATTCAAGTAATGACAGATGTTAGTCACAAAATACACATAAATGCTGCAGCGAGAATTATTCACAATTTTTTTTCGCGGGGGAATGTTGTAGCAATTACAAAGAACGTTCTCGGGCAGATAAATCAGCAAAGCAAACAAACCGATTTGTAGGATAAGATAAGGAATAGAGAAAATTCAGAAATTTCTAGAAAACTTGTCCATTCGCGAATTCCTTTATGAGGAGCCATTAAGGTAGAATAAAGTAAGAGAAATAGGCTTTACGAACAATTTATTTTCATTTTGAATTTTCTCTCAGTTACTGCCTTTAGCCTGTATTCATTGCAAAAGCACCGGCATTACAGGCGAAATTATCAGAAGAATAGTTGTTTCAACTATCAAACTGCGATTTATTGATGCCTAAAAAACATTGTTTTCCAGATTTCACTCAGTTCACTTTTCTTGCTTTGCACACCCACAGCTACACAAAGGCAGTGTCCCGGCAGATTTTGCACCTCCACCTTTTTGCATGTTTTAGGCCTTTTCGCCACGTAGAATCCGAATTTGAGCTTTGAACGGGCTGAAAGGGCCGATTTTGGGGCGTTTTCCTAATTCCAGAAAAGCAGCTTGGACGAGATTTTTAATGGAAAGTTGGGGGAGGTCCGCAGACGAAGATCCTGCCGCCTGTAATTCTTGCTTTGGATAGCACGCATCATGGGGGAGAGCGCTCGTGGGGTCCCGCGCCGAACATTCGGGGAAGGCCGTCCAAGCGCGCGCCAGTTGGGGTTCGCGCGCCGGTTCAAGGGCCATTTTCTCGGCCCAGGGGGAACATCACCCAGCCGGAGTGCGCCTGGAGGTCGATGGGGTGACCAGGAACCTCACCACACGTATATCCCCCAGGACCCGAATCTGCCGGGACACTGCCTACAACAAGATTCCTTTCTGTCCAAATTTTAAGAAAATTTATATTTCAAACTCTTCAAAGAATCGAGGAAGATCAGTGCCAGAGAAAAGTAATTCGAATCAGCTCTAAAAGAACAAAGACTATAGAAAGGCGCAATGTCTGCTTCGACAGCTGCCTAGCAAGCCATCAATAAACATGCCATATCGAACCGACCACGTAGCAGCTGAAACAGAAAATCAGCAGGAAATAAATGATGCGTGTGTAATATTCAGAATTAAGCCATTCAGTAATCGATTTTGGCAACGAAACAGTGTAGAAAAATTTTGAAATGGTGAAAATTTTGCAACTCTGGAAGTATCTTATGCAAAAGGAACAGGCTTGGCCTATGGGAGAATGCAAGATCCAGATAATGTCGGTTCTTTTTACAATTAACAAGTTGTCTTTATGATTTTTCAACTCATAACTTGTAAAAACTCTCTGAAAACTCTGCGATCAAAGGATTGATATGATTACAGATAAACTACTCATCAAATAAAGAAAAATTGTGGTGTTAAGACGAAGCTAAGAGTAGCCAGAGTTATCAACACCTAAGCACATTTTATTTACTTGAAACAGCTCAAACATGTTCAATGTAATGCTGAATCCCTTTGAATGTTATTCCGTGGCTCAAAGCCAAATTATACGATTTTCAATACCTAGTCACTAAAACATACAAATTTGAATGACAGAATCGCTCAGAGATTCCTTCCCTGTCGCGCCCTGCAGGAATGGAAGATAGATTTGAAATCAGCGTTCCAAAATATTTGTAGCGGTATGCACCATATGGTAATCGGCCACTTCCACTTCGCGACCCAGGATTCCCCCAGAAAATAGGCGATTGGCAAAGAAAGAGGAATCTCACTCTCTTTCACCATAGCTAAAGTAGAATCGCAGCCGAGGAAATTTGTCGAAGAATGCGCTGATGGTCGTGATCAGCGGGAGAAAAGTGCAGACATCATAGAAGACGTCAGAAGCAATGAGCACATCCAGTTCTGGAAGACCTTCGAGGACTGCGGCTATGCTCTCGGAGCTCTGCCAGTCCAAACCCTGAAGCAGCAAGACAAATTGCAGTTTCTTTTCATACAATGCGTGATTCAGGCGACATTAGACTATGGCTTACTTTTACTTCACACTTCTCGGTTAGATGATTTTTGTCGATGTTTTCTTGGAGCAAAGACAACACCTAAAATCCTATCATACTTGTGAGCAACTGTTTCTCATGAATTTACATGTAGAATTATAAAAATTACCTCTTCACCAGGGTAGTCGCTTAGAATAACTTTCTTAACTTTCAACTTTCCAACGGCTATTCCAACAACACCGGTGCCGGAGCCTAACTCAAGACACGCACAGTCAGTCAGCATACCTTCATTAGCACAAAAGAAACTTGCTGAAATATATGTTATAAATAGTGTCAGATTCCTCATGAAATTTGCTTGAGTTTTTGAGCAAAGATTGTCTTAGATAAACAATTTCCTTAAGGGTGTTTGAGTACTTTCAAAAGCTTCTCGAGGTTAGGTGTGCTAAATTTTTGGAATTTGGCTGCACCCTGACACAGCACCAAAGAACTAAATTTCTTTGCAAGCTTTTCTAAAGAAGAATGAAAAGAAGGCAGAAAAGCACACGTAGAATCCCCAATGAAATTTAGCGATGTGATTTGACGGTGGTGAATGCTGCGGTAGGGGTTTTTTTGGCCATCAATTCCTGAATAGAATAAAATTTTTGGTATATCCAATCGGCTTTCTGTATGCAAGTAGACTACGCAGTCAACTGCAATTAATAACTTCCACTTCTAACAATAAGAGTGATTTTGCTTTATTACGACTATGCGATAGAATTCTATGCTGATCACTTGGTGTTTCTCTACAATTTTGATTTAGCAGTAAGAAAACATTAATCACCTAAGAATTGAGCAGCCGGCCATACTCCTTTCCAGTGATCTTGATTGGCTCCAATGGCTTTCGAGTTCATCTGCAATCTCAGAAAAATCGACTAATAATTATCAGTAAAAAATGCATGGTAGATCAATGTACATATTGACGTTCATGGAAAAATAATCGGAAAATTTCATATTCTCATCTACTCATTGCGACACAAACGCATGACCATTTGGCATCGTTACGTTACCGTACTCAGAACGTGTGAGGTGGGAAATTTCTAACGACTCCCCATTGGGAAGCCACACACGAACTAGCTGCTTTTTTCTTTTGGCGTCTAAAGATTACCTTCAAAATCGCACTTGTTGGGTCACTACATTTCTCGTCTACTCTAACTACACTCCTTCAAAGCTGAAGTCATATAGAATCTTTCCTTCCTGCAGGAGAGACGCAGTAAATAAGTCCGCATCTATGGCATATGGTACAGCAATTCTGGCCAATAAGTACCGAGACATGGCAAAGTGTGTGCTGTTGACTTTTGCAGAAAAATTTATTATTGCACATCACAAAATGACACCGTATTGCATATCACAAATTCCTGAGCCATTATTTTATAGATCACGTCTAATGTTATCGAATAGTACTGAAGTTTGCCATGACTCTCGATCAATTTCGTATTCTTCCTCTGTGAAAAATGGTTTGTCGATAAGCCTAGAAAGTTCAGCATTCGAAGCTCACATTAAAATGAATTTTTGAAAAAGTACATACTCAATCGCGTTCCAACCGCACAAAGGGCAATCTACGCCGAGTAATTTGTTAATTTCGGTGCTGATTTTGGCAAATTGCTGCTCACGCTCTAAAAAAAAATTAGGAGAAAATCAAGCAACTACGAACAAGCAACAGACCAGATATGAGGGCTTCATTAGCAGATGAAACGCGTTCCTCAGCTTGTAGTTGCGAAAGAAGCCGCTTCTCTTTGACTGCAAGTTCAGCAAGACGAGCTTTGGACTTCTGTAATCGTGATGGATATTACAGAAAGGATATAGTGAATTGGCTAAAGGTACTTCTGTCAGGTATGGCATCATTGCCTCTTCCAAACATTCTCGATGGAAGAAATGACGGCAATAATGCGCAAAGAAGGGTCTTCCAAACAGAGAGCGTTCACATCCTGCACAAACATCACCCGCTTTGACCACTATCACACTGCAATAAAAGATAGGATGGAAGACAGACAGCTGATGAAATTACTGCGTGTCTTAAGAACTCACCGATTTTTCAGCTTTTGCGTTTTTTCTCTGATTTCCTTCGCAATTTGAGTAGCATCTTTCATAGATTGTTGCAAATCCTGAATATCATCAAATTGTATTCGTTGAAGTCGAGCTCATTCAGAGATAGGCAAGCAACATGAAAACCAAATTGAAAGAAAACAACAAACTCGCTTTGATTTTGATGGAATGTTCCCTGAGGCATTCGCACAAGGGCTCCTTAAAATCTTCAATTTTTGTGAATTCCGGGAAGAATGGTAGTATGTCCTGAAAGAACGTAATGATTGGAGGACATGCGCTACTACCAGATTTACCTGTATTGATATAACATCGCCGGATTCTTTCAGAAGAGCAATGGAGTTGCTTGCATTTGCGTCCTTGCTAATCACAAATTCCGCTGAAAACAGCAAATAAGTAGCAGAAATATGTGGAAGTTGACATTCATCACTCAAAATTTTTGGCCTTTTGAATTAACAGAAAGTAAACCATGATAAATTGCTGATAAACGTTGATATATAGTGTAGATGAATAGAAGATAGATAAATTCCAAAAGTAGCTCGGACCTATTTTCAACCATATCCGCCTTCTCTGTTCAACTGGGTACTTCGGTTCGATCCCCATAAGTACGTCTTCTTCATCGGGATCCATCATATGTGCACACTCCTTCGCCATGGTGATTCCTTCTTCATTAAAAGCCTGAGCAGCTTAACCTGAGATGACTGGGAGAGTGAAAAGAATTACTTACCTTCAGCGCTAGATCTACAGCATCGCTAAACATCTCAGAGACACAATACAAGTAAATCGTTGATTTCTCGAGTTCTATAAAAAACGTGATAGGTGATACAATTTGACATAGTCCACTAAAACTCACTATGCTGCACACAAGTTCTCAACGCGAAATCCAAATCATACGGTATAGCTGTCTTGTCCAGACCGCACTTGACCAAGTATTCATGTAACCTTTTTGGACGGAACTGTGCGTACAAAACCACCAAAAGATTGTGCAGATCTACATCGTTAGCTCCATGTTGGGTAGTTACTGCCCACTCGATATATTTTAGAGCATGGGCAGCCTAAAACGAACATGAGATCTTGAACGTAAACATTCCGCCAGAAAGAGGCGAACCATCTCTGTAGATTCTTGGCACAGACACAATGTCGGAATCATTTTCTGAGGGCGCAGACGTTCATTCGCAATAATGCTAGCAAGAAGTTCCATGGAAATGAATTTCACTAACTTTGGAGAATACTTGTAGTAAAATTCAGGAACATTCTAAAATAAGACGTAATATAAAACAAGAACATTCTCAAAGAAGCACTGTCAAAGTTGGAACGTCAGAATTTCAGAAATTCACTAACCTGTGTTTTTAACACTTCCAAAGCTTCCCTATAGTGTTCCCTCATTATGTGGATCTCGATGACCCTTTCAAAATCTGGAAAACGTAGAGGTAATCCTCATTTTCAAATGCTGAAAATAAGCAACCTCCTATTTGTTTGGCCAGAAACAGCTGCGAGTCAAAGTCAGCATGTGAAGCCATCAGTTTATACACAGCATCCTTGTTGACTACAACCGTATCCTAAAAGATCAGTCCCTAAGTGAGTGGAAAGCTTCTTGTATGTAACATGTCGACTTACATGGACGTTCTTTCTCATCAAGAAACGCTGAAGGCGAGTGGAATGTTCTTCACTTTCCTGCTCCTTCCCATCCCTACGCATCTCAGCTAGCTCACCCAACATAACTTCTAGAAGCCACATCACTAGCACATCTCTTCTGATTCTATCCTGAACGGGTTTGCTTAACAACTTAAGCGAAACAGGATGTCAAAATCATTACTTCTGGGCGCTGTAAAGACTCCAATTTTTTTTCTAGCAATGTTTTTAGCCCTAAACGACGAGCATCGTCATTCGACATGAACTTCAGAACAACAGCTTCGAACGATTCAGTAGACTGAGCGAGTATCTCAGCTGCTGCTGTATAGCTGCAAGATAAGCAATTCTCTTTGATAACAATCTTGAAGAGAAATAAGTTCATATGCGCAGCTACTGACTTCCCATCCGCAAGATATTTGTCAGCCTGACGTTTCAATACCAACTCATGCGCCTCAGGATCAATCTGGAGCCTACTCCTGGCAATCACGAGTGCCTTTGCGTAGTCGCCACGTTCAAGAAAAACACGCCAAACATATCTAGAGAACCAGTAATGCAAGGCTTGAAAATACTTTAGGTCAATTTCGAACCTGCTTTCATCCATCGGTTTATACTTCATCGTTGTTTGCTTCGTGAAGAGCCAATGGAACTCAGAGGTGGGATCATTGACAAGTCCTACAGCGCTTCCGTAATCCTGAAGCCATCCCCATGAATAGTTTTGGCAAAAACCTACATGTGTGCTACCTGCGGCCATACGTCTTCGTACACAACAGTCTTCGTGTAGATAGACAAGGCGTTCAGTTTGTTTGGATAAGCCAGTAGCATGTGATAATCACTCAGTGAGACTCCAACAGGACTCTCGATACGGCCTTCAACCCGTCGATGACTTAATACTAAGAAGTAGGAAAGGAGGACAATAGAAGAAAATGCCACTGGACAAAATGTGATTTTATTCGCGGGTTATTGATGTTATGATCAGGGCTCGGCATGAGCTGGCACCAGGGAAATTTTAAAACGAAGTCTCCTGAACGTAAAAGCCCTAGGAAAAGAAATCTCGACAAAAACGTCGCAATTTTTGCGTCTTTTCGGCCACAAAAACAATATCCTCTTTGCTTTTTGTCCCAAAAACGATATAGAGCTTGACCCGGTGCCAGCTGTACCGAGCCCTGGTCCTGATACAAGGTAAGCTGAGATGGGTTGCACTCACTCCATATGATCTATTTCTTCCAAAATATCTCTAGGCTTATCGGCTGAGAGATTTACTTTGCCGATAGTAATTCCACTAGGACCCAGCCATAGGAATTTGTTTGGCTCCCCATGCGGCGGATGCATCACCAACGTACTCAAATCAGGCAAAGTTTGAGAAGAGGTCGAGCTTTGCATGGACATGCACGTTTGCTGGGCATCTGCAAAGAACATGAATACGAGTGTTAAACCACGGCAAGAATTTACCTCTTGTCGAGAAAAATGGATGGAAGATATGCGGTGGAGTCTCAGGCATCGTAATCCATCCAGCCTGCAAGTTCGCAGCGCTCATATAATTGCTCTTCGCTGGAGGTGACATGTCAATAGAAGCATAAACAGAGTGTAAACGTCCGGGCTGGCAAACGAGTAATAACCATCTAGAAAGAAGTAGTTTATCCGATGTGATTGGAATGGTGAGATTACCAGAACACACTTTGTCGATTTTATGATTTCGTCATTGATCAGATAGAGATACAATGAAGATACCGCAAGGTCCTTCTCACCACCAAAACTAGATGTATGCTCTTTGACAAACCCAATCACTCCATTGGCTGAGATCACAGTTTCAATTATAGCACCTGCAAAGAATTCTTTGTTTACAGGTCCCTTTGATAAAATGAACAGAAAGTATAAAATTCATAAAAGTTATTAGAAACCAACCTTTTGTAGTACCCAGTAGAATATGGCCGGTTTCATTATCTTTCACACATTCAGGATTCCAGGCTACGCTACTTATCACACCCTAAAATGAAAAGGTCCTGCAGCACATGCATCTAGTAGTTCTCTTCTGAATTATTGGCAAGAGATATGATTACGGAGACAAACTCGCAGAACTAAAGAAAAAGAAAAACAACTCGAACAATGCTGACCTTGAGCTTCTTCAGAGGATAGGCAGCATTACTTTTCAAATTTATATAATAATTCTCTCCCTGTTTCGTTGTCGCTATACAATGTTGCCCAAGGGGAGACAAAAATATGTCCGCTAACGAATCAGAAGCCACCACAGGTGTTTTAATCACTGAAATAATTACAACAATGGAGCATCAAAACATCAGAAAAGAGGCTTGAACAAACAAAAGGGATGTAGGTACCTGTGCGTTTGTTGTTTGTCGAAAGCGGCTGATGAAGCACTGTACGATCATCAATAACAGCAAGCATGTGGCCATTAGAGACCCTGATGGCAGCGAGGGAAACATGCCCCTGAAGTCTGCAAGAGTTTTGAGCATTCAAGACATTATAGACATCAAACTGACGGGCAACGAAATTACTATGAAAACATTTCGAAGCGAAAAAGCATTTTTTCATTAATTTGCTCTGAAGCACATGTCATTCATTTTCTAAGAAACACGAGAACGCTTTATGCACGTTCGGTTGAAGGCAGCGGCTCGGCAGAATGACAACCTTGGGTATTCATCGTTCCCCGACGAAGGCGAACAAGCCCCAAATGTTAGCCGAATAAAACTGATAACAATCTTGGTCTGGCTGAGACAGTCAAAAAAAAGAAACTTGTAGAGCACAAGTTTCAGCTTGCTTAGACAATATGTGCAAAGCGTCGAGTCCCTTTGGCCTCGCGCATGATTTACGCGATTTCATCGCCTCGCGATGCTCCCAATGAGACATTTTCGAGACGACTAGTCATGACTAACTACTACAACCGAAATACAAGGTGATCAACATGCAATGGACTCGTAACAATTGTCTTGCTGGGAGAATCGCGAAACGATGAAATCGCGTGAGTTATGCCCGAGGCCATAGGCTTTGGCCATATATTACCAGTGTTACTAGTGTTACCAGAGTTACCCGTGTTACCGGTGTTAACCGTGTTACTCGTCTTGCTAAAGTGTGTAGCGTTTGTTACTCGCGTTACTAGTGTTAGCGCTTTTATTGCTGCTGAATAATGATCATCACCATTACAGCCTCAATTTTTCATGCCATCTCTCCGATTGGTGAGTATTTTTTGCATTGAACACGAGTAACACTAGTAACACGAGTAACACTAGTGATATGTGTAACACCGGTAACATTAGCACTGGTGTTGTATAATCAAGGCTCGTTCTCAGAATGAATGATAGTGTTTAACCGCTGACGCGGAGACCGTTCGAGATACATTCACCTAAGTTGCGCGGTTCTAAGCCGACTACTGTAAGCAATGTGGTGGTGAAAGATAATATATAGCCTTGAACAAAGATGATAAAAAGTAAAAGCGCTGAAGGTTTAAACATACTTGAGATCTCTCTTCACGTCCTGTTGCGATCTAACAAAGATTCCGAGTTGTTGCGTAGCCATTTCTCAATCATTCAAGATACAGCCTACAAGACATTCTCCTTAGATAAATCTTCAATAACAGCGAGCATGAGTTTATCAGTTTGAGATTTATACAGTCTGTGTTAGTATTTTAGTGTTACTAACTAGATAGTTCAACTAAAGAAAAAAAAGGCAGTTCGTTAGATTTCGCGCTCCAACCATTATAATTGCTCGGAGCCGAATTTTGCTAGAGCGCTCTTTCATCTTCCCCGATTGCACGTTTCTGCGAATTTGATCATCAAAGTATTCGTTTTCTCTTTAGATGGTGTTCCCTGCAAAACCGGGTAGTCAGAAGAGACCGCACGAGGAATTCGAGCAACATAAAGAAGTGGCCAGCAATGGAAATGGGAAAGCAAGTGAGCCCGGTATGTAGGTATCTACAAACCTTTGTTTTGCTATACGCACGTGCGCGAATTTTTCAATAATGGAGCTTTCATGGGGCGTTCTACCTTTTTTATTTTCCTGTCTTTTCTGATTGGTTGACTTAGTGCTGTATGAGCTCCAATAAGGAAAATCACATATGTGTAGTAGTATAGTAGCAAATCGTTGTATAGTAGCACATCGCTTTTACGATGCATTTTGTAATAAATAAATAAATAAATAAATATGGAATCAACTTCAAACGCTGATTCCAAATGTGCTATTCCTAGCTGCGGCGCACCATTCCGAAGCGAGTTATGGGCTTTTTACTGTTGGCATACTATTGAACATAGGAAGACTGCCTTAGATAAAAAACTGCAAGAAAAGGTGCTGAGATATCGAAATAACACGAATTCAATCTTTTTTTATTAGCACTTAGATGATGATGCTGTGATGCCAGTGATTCGATGAATATGCCAATTTTGCGCAGGAAAAAGCCCATAACTCGCTTGGAGATGGTGCGCGGCAACTAGGAATAGCATATTTGGAATCAGCGTTTGAAGCTGGTTCAGAATATATAAGTGCCTTGCCAAGTCAAGCTAAGTTAGGTACCTAGTTTCCCTTGTAAGTGATTTTTAGCAACCCGTTTAGTTTGATCCCTCTTAATAAGTGGAAGTGGTGTAGAACGCGAAGAAAGTTGTTTTTCACAATTTTCATGCTTCTTATTTTCAGCATCCAAGCGAAAGCGTATCTTTAACTTTGACGCTCATCCGAGGAGAAAAATTGCGCTACAGTTCCTTTATCATGGCTGGGATTTCGAAGGATTAGTACAGCAATCGACAACTGAAAATACTGTTGAAAGGGTGGGTAATGACACGTGATCCTCATTGAAAACTTCAAAATTTTCAATTTTTTAGCATTTGATGGATGCTCTGATGAAAACTAAATTGATTTCTGATGTGAAAGATTGCGATTTTTCGCGTTGTGGGCGAACTGATAGAGGAGTTTCCGCATTCAAACAAGTTGCTGCGCTTGTGGTGAGGTATCTTATTCTGTAATTTACGAAAAAAAAATACTAGGAGATTATAATGGAGAGTTTCAAGATCAGCGGACCCATCTGGTAAATTCGTCTTTTGGCCAGAGTCGACGGATCAGACTGTGATTGATAGCTATCCGAAGAAAGAAGAGCTTTCATATTTAAAGATGCTGAATGGAGTGCTGCCCAAAAATATCAGCATTATCGCGTAAGGTACCATTCAGTAATTTTAGGAGTGGCTTTTTTGTAAAACTTTTTGTATAGACGTGGTATATGACTTTTCTCAGGCTGGGTTCATACCGATTCGTAAGTTCCGGAACAGTTCCAGCACCGCGCTCGAAATTGTGCGCTGCTGGAACTGTTCCGGAACTTACGGATCAGTATGAACCCAGCCTCAGCTTATCATCGTTGAACACAATCAGACTCGAATAGCATATATGCGAGAATATAACTTTCCTAGATCTCGCTTTCTTATTACGTTTTTTGTCAATATCTGATAATTTACCGAGTGTGCGAAAGTTATTTTTGCGCATTCAAAGCATTTCTGGATTTATTTCTCCAAAAGTGATAGGTGTCCATCACATCTGTAATGATTCCCATCCAGGTGGGCACCGGTACCTCGGGACTTCTCGGCTAGACATGCCTGCAACATGCGAATATACAAATACAGCATGCCCAGAGCCAATCTGAATGTGGAGGTGATTTTCTGGTCAATCTTATTATGCATGTTCGCGCATGTAGTCTTTTTTAGCGCATGCGTCGTGCTGGTGCTCTGCTTGTGGGTATTCACGATTTCAGAAATTTTTGCCAGGTACTTCTTTTATGTATGCATATCTGCTTCAATTCTTTCATCCGTCTGTCATAGTCTCTTCAGATTCCCTATCATGCTTTTCTCATTATCCAGATAATATTTTAGGTTGATATGAATGAAAAACGCTTGAATATGTCTTTCGTACGTGAGATTTTCGAAGTAACGCTTGAAGCGCTTCCGGCGAGGTAATTTAATTCTTCCTATATAACTTTTCTTGCCTTTATTCACACCGCAGCAGATCACTGAACTGCACTTCATCCAAAGACTTGTTAGAGTTGACCATCAAAGGAAGCGGATTTTTATGGCATATGATTAGATACATAGTCACTGTGCTCCATGAAATCGGTCAAGGTAATGAGGAACCAGAGGTATGTTTGTGCATGAACTGTAGTCAGGATTATCGAGTTACCTGGTTCAGCTAGTCACTGATCTTTTGGACGTTGAGAAAAATCCCTCTCGGCCTCATTACACACTTTCTGTGGCCACTCCTTTATGTCTTCATGATTGCAGGTAAGCGGCTTATATACAGTGTATAGGTAACTAGTCTTGAATATCATATTGTTTCACGACTCTGCTAACCACTTTAGGTTTGATTCATCGAATCTAGAATGGGTGTATGACGAATACGCTTTGAAAAAGACCATGACGACTTTGCAGTGTGACTGGGCGGATTTACAAACAAGGTAGTGTTGCGTAGATATAGCGTGGCCTAGGGTGGCATGTTTAGAGCACGTATCGTCGAGAATATGCTGAATGGTCTAGCCGATACGCCTGTTGGGTCTCAGGTCGACTTGGACAAGGGCCTCCTGGAGTTCACACAAGTAAGCAATCTTCACCCTGACGGTTGTGTGTGATGGTGTTATCGAAATTGCTTCGGTTCATTTTTTGAAGGAGTATATCGCAGGATAGTTTCCAAAATGCGTTTCTGGCCGCAGAAGAGGTGACCTTGTGCTGGAAATTTCAGGATCGTCCAATTCCTGCACGATACATCAAATTCTCGGAGAGGAAAACATGCGATAGTCTCGAACAGAAGCGTGAGAAATTGGAAAAAAAGAAGCTAGAAAACAATCATGCGTAGTTCTTCACATTCACCTTCTTTCTTTTCTCTTGAGTTATGATTTATAGCGATGTTGATTTTGTCTTTGTTACCTTGTTATTTCATTGATTTTCTTTTTTTTTCTTTCCATAATATATATGCATAGATTCATTTTCTTTGAATGGATAAATGAGTATCCAGTTCACTTTTTCTCTGCTAGGGTTTTTGCCCGCTTTACTTCTCCCTTTTTCAGTAAGATTAGTCTATGAATTTTGTATAGATGTCTACCCGCAAACTGAAGTTGATAGGGTTTAATAAGGACTTTGTTGATTACGACGGTAAGATTTTTTTTTGAAGTAGGGATCGGCTGATACGCGATATTTCCCAATTTTCAGATGATAACGACTATAAGGATTTTTTCACGAATATTGATGCTATGTACTTCAAAAAGAAATCAAAGGGATGGTGGGACGAAGTCAAAAAGGAGGAAAATGAACAAAAGTGGATGGAGGAGATAGACAAGGTAATATAACTTTCCCACAGTTTTTCCTAGTACAATCGTTAATGGACAGTTATCATTTTTCCAGTATATTACTGAATGTGGAGTTACGGTAGATACAGCGAAATCACGGAAGGTCGTTGCAAATGCTGTTCTTGACACGATCATTAACAAGAAGTACAATGCGGAAGGTACTTTCTTGGATTGTAGGATCTCACTGCTCATACTTCTTCGTAACAAAAGGCAGCACGTGCATCGCTTGCCAATTTCTTACACATTCTCTTTTTTTGTTGCATCAAATTTATATTGAGCTTGACGTGCTCTCGCGTTACTTCAGTGATGCTCTTGATGTTCAAAGTAGTTTCACTAAACTTTATAATATTATTGTATGACTCATATTCTTTCAGATAATGTACATAATTTGACCAGTGCGATATATCTCGAAAAAGAAGCAGCGCGATTGGCTCAGTCACAGAATAAACAAAACCCTCTGAATCTCATTGATTGTGAGTTAACTCTACAATTTCGTTCTCGGTCGAATATCGTTATCGGACGTATCATATCTATCCATGCTTAACAGATTCTTCTCCTGAATTCGCTACGAAAGTGAAGGATCTCTGCCACTTTTTGGGGATTGCCAATCATCCTGATCCAGTTGTTTCTCTAAAGGTGAAAAATTGTTAATCTTATTCCTTTTGTAACGTTTCTGTTTTGCTTTAGGCAGCCTGCATTTTCATTGCGGAAAACTTGAATGAAGAAGTTGTGAAAGAGAGGAATGCGGAGCATAAATCTGGTAAACCTGCGGTAGGGGATTACTACAAAAGTTTGTATTTTTTTTTATAGAAATCATCATTTAGAACATATTTGATCTCCGTTCGTTCCCCATTGATTTGCCCGATCAGAAGGATGGTGCTGTAAATGCCGCAGGACGTATATTGCGGTTGCTCAATATCGAAGTGTTGAGAAACACACAGACTAGCGTATGCTTTTTGATTTTGCAGACGATTTATATGCGAGAGAACAATTTTCAGGTCAATGAAACCCTCGTTGCCATCCAGAATCTGACTATCGACCAAACAAAGAAACCAGCTATGAAACAGGTCAAATATGGATATTAGAGGCATATAGTTCTAACTACGGATATAGGTATCATTAGATTTGATTCCTTTATTGTTATATCCATCTGATATCGTGTGGGTCACGCTTCTTTGACCGGTATTGCTTTGCAATATGTTAATAAGAACTTGTGTTATATTGTTGTTCACAAATCGTATAAAGAGATTTCTGTTTTTGTTTCATTGAAATAAATAGTAAGCGCACAGTTATCTGGAGGAGTGAGAATCACATTTGATCAATGTTGTTCACGCAGATGTCAGCAGAAACTCGGAGACGCCCGAATATTCTAATCACTGGCACACCAGGCACTGGAAAATCTACGCTAGGACAGGAGATTGCAAATCGTTTACAGTTTGATTTTATAGAGGTTAGTTGCTTTATGCACTATTTTTGAGTCATCTTTTTTTCTTTTTTCTTAATTTTTGGTTGTCTATCTTCTATGTCTTATTTATTCGAATTTGTTATTCAGTTTAAATCTTTAGCTTATGGTAGAGGGGTAGCAATAATTCTGAGGATGACAAGTGCGTAGAAGTATCTCGTTCTACACGATGAACCTAATTTACCTCCTCCTTACCCCCCCCCCCCCTCACACACAAACTTTTTTTGATGGAGAACCTTCAACTATCATATTTTGACCAATGCTTCTGAATTTGTAATAAAGCGAATAAGTGGCAAACAAAAAGCATGTTGCGCAATATTGGTCAGATTCGAATTTGAGGTCATATCGTTTCTTTCGCTTGTCTCGTCTAACTTGCTTTTTGTCGACGATCTCATTTGTTTCTGATATAATAAGTGCGGCCACTGGAAAACCTAAGTTCCACCATTATCCTATAGCTTACCATTTATGAGTTCATCAGAGATCTAGTGACTGAATATTGGAACTGCTTGACCTTTTTCATGTCATTCAAAGTTCTAGGTAGGAAAAGAAGTGCGAGAACATGGTCTTGTAGAGGAGTTCGACCCACAACTTAACTGTCATGTACTCGATGAAGAGAAACTGCTTGACCATATGGAGGTAGATAGAATTTGTCTCATCGTTCACGCATATCCATGCAATTTATCAAGTTTCTCAGGATCGCATGAACAGTGATAACGGTGGCGTTATCGTTGATTATCACGGAGTGGACTTTTTCCCGGAAAGATGGTTTGATTTTGTTATTGTTCTGCGTTGTTCAAATACATTGTTATACGACCGACTTGAGCAGAGAGGATACGATCCGCATAAGGTGAGTCTCTCTTGCTTTTCTGAGAGTCTAGTGCACTTGAAGTTTTTTTACAGATCAGAGAAAATATCGAATGCGAGATTTTTGGATCATTGTTAGAAGAGGCAAAGGATTCATATAAAGAGGACATCATTCATGAATTGAAATCAGAAACAGTAGATCAAATGCATGCTAATGTCGATTACGTGTGTCAGTTAGTCTCGGAATGGCATCCAGCTCGATAGGCCATAGGCTCTTGTTGTTACTGTCCACTTAGTAAATTGTTATCGTTGAAGTTTTAATGAAATATGCTTGTGCTATTTTTGCTTGTTATTTGGAAAACGTTTTTCTTTGCTGTTACTGCTGCGCCTGTGTTTTCTTCCCTGATATTTTTGGTTCCCTCAGTGTGTCAGAGTTATCTCAGATTGCATAAAAGTTCTATTTCTCGCTTGGTTTGATATCATTGGTTGTTATCCGCAGTCCTGTTAAAACTTTGCGACGAAGTTTGCGTGCGGTTACCGTCTCAAAAATCTTCTAGTTAGAAAAATCATGTGCAGGTAAAGGTACCGTCTACCCAGATTCTCGACTTCCATGTTCTGGTTCCATAGCCTTCTCATATTCCTGGTTCCCGAATGTAGTCGAGAATTCGCAAAACCCCTTACGGTTCCCATTCCGGAGGACCCCGGGCCGATTGGAACAGTGGTTGGCTGGGCGCGCACGGATGGGCGGGTGTTACTGAAGGGGGCGGTGCCGACTCGGGGCCCTCATGCCTCTTCGCGATTCCGAAGCAATTTTTTCGCTTCGGAAGCGACATTTTGCGCCGCGACATGGGCATCGGCTTGATAGCGGCTTACTATCGTAAGCTGTCAAAAGCTGAGACCCCCAACTTAGGGTAGACGGTGCCTTTAAACTCAGCGGCAGGTCGTTGTGGTTGTCGTATGTCCTTCAGCTGATATAAACAAAAATAAACCCACCTCACAAAAAAGTCGAGTTTTTTTTGAAGACGTGATTGAACAGATAAAGAAAGCAAAGAACTATTAGGTTGGTAAGCTTCCGACATTAGATTAAATCAGTATGCACATGACTGGAAATTTGCAGTTAGCCTCTCCAGCGCATGTAGCTAATATTTGAGCAAGTGGGAGGGTCCTGGGGCGGGGGGACAGAGTTTGCCACTATTTCATAACCTCGTGTTCTTTTATTTAAGCTCAACTTCCATACGCTCTTATTTAAGTAAATGTTTGCTATGAGTTAGAGCCTGGTATAACATTAGTAGAAACGGGGAGATCTGAGTTGCGTCACCATGTGTTCGAATTTCTGCCTGTATTTTTATAGGTAGAGATTGCGTTTCTCTACCTAGCGGGTGCAGCATACCCAATCAGTGCTCATATCGAAGCAAAAACTTCATCATGTCATTCAAAAGGACGTCTTGAAAATGCGAAGATTGTTGGTTCAATCATGTGACATCAAAAATCATAGACTTTTGGTGAAAATTTGCAGCTATGATCACATCTAAGAATTTGCACCGTAAGAAGCTGAAATTCTGGGTTGAAGGCCTCTTCTACTCTAAGTTGGACGTCTTGAGCTTTTGGCAGCTACAATAGTGGGGTCTCTATCAAGCCAGTGCCCATTGCGGCTGAAACTGTCTCGCTTCGGAAGCGAGAAAATCGTTTCGGAATAGCGAAAAGGCACGAGGACCCCAAGTCGGCACCGCCCCCTTAAGTAATGCCCGCCCATTCGTGCGCGCCCATCCAATCATCGTTTCGGAGAACGGGCCTGTGGGTTCTCCGGAATGGGAGTTGTCGGGATTTTCGCGGATTATCGACATTTTATTGGGAACCAGGAACATGAGAAAGTCCCGGAAGACCAAAACATGGAAATTGAAAATCTAGGTGGATAGTGCCTTCAATGTATTTGTTCATTTAACCTAGCACCAGTCACAATTCATTGGATTTGAGGATTATTGCACCTGATTGTGAGATGTCCAAAAAAGGCTCACATTTTTTCTGATCCCTCATGAGAACTTACAGGAACGATAGGCTGAAACAACTGCGCATTTTCTCATACGCGTAGATTCCGTACACGAATCGCTGCTTTCAGATGTGTCAAATGTGGCAACGAATTCGGTATGGCGTTCGTTGGAGACCTAGTGAACGTCTCGCCCTTGCTGTGAGAGCTCTCGATTTGAAATCTGTAAAATCGATTGCTATCTCAATGGATCCGCTCTATCCAGGAAATCTTTCTTTGAGGTTTGCTTGCAGGTTAAAATCGTTGAAACTGGGAAATAGTTTAGTGAACGATTTGAGCGACTTTGGTCAGCACAAGCTTATTCAGTCCTGAACATCAGTACTTTTTTTGACGTATTGAATGCGGTGCCTTGCGAGGAATACTGTTTTGAGGCAGAAAGCTCTGAAGTTTGAATAATAATAAATTACTTTAGACACAAGGTTCAGAATCTTCAAAAGAGACTGGAAACCTGCAAAGGGTTTGTCTCAGTGTCACCATAAAACCATAACCTCATCCAATACGCAGAAGAAAACGGAAAAATGAAAAATAAGTGTATGAAGGCCGATGGTTTTGTGAGAACGAGACCAGAACGGTTCGTGGTTCTTGAGTATTTTTAAGTTGGGCAGAAAATTCTGTATGGGATTTTGCGTGGCGAAATTAGAAGAAATTCGATCTCGCATTTTTCTCTCGTTAGCTAGTACCCAAAGCAAACTCCTCAATAACATTCGGGACCGCTAGCTTTTGAATTATAGAGTGTATTGCCATTAAAATTTCGAAGAATTTTTTTTGCTTTGCTATATCTGACACGTTTGTGTTAAACAAGCTGGTCCATCCCTACTTTGAATAGCTACTATTTTGGTTTTCTTTCTGCATCCTTAAGCATAGTGGGAAATCAAAACTATTCGAATCAAAACCCGAATGTCAAAGGCACCGTCCACCCTAAATCAAGGGTGTTGAGCTTTTGGCAGCGTATGATAGCAGGGCCCCCATCAAGCCATTGTCCAACTCGCGGCGCAAAATGTCGCTTCGTAAGCGAGAAAATCGCTCTGGAATGACGATTATGCACAAGGGCCCCTATCCATGCACGCCCCTTCCCATCCATGCCCGCCCATTTGTGTGCGCCCATCCAATCACCGTTCCGGAAAGCCGGTCTGCGGGTTCTCCGGAACGGGAATTGTCGCCGTTCTCGCGGATTCTCGACTTAATATTCGGAAACGACATGAGAAGGCCTTGAAACGACGTAAACCTGGAAGTCGAGAATCTTGGTGAACGGTGCCTTTAAAGGCAGTGTCCGGGCAAAAACTCGATTTTGAGATTTTGTGCTTATACGGGCCTATTCGCCGTGTTGAATTCGAAAATCCACATTGGAAAGCGCGAAAACGGCGGAAAAGGGCTCTAATATAGGAGGGAAATTAGCAGGTAGGCGGGGCTTTCCCCAGTGCGATTTCACGCTCCCAGCTCCCGGAGCGATTTTCTCGATTCCGGATTCAAGTTAATCATTCGCACTTCACCGGTAGCGATGTTAGGACGGCTGGCGGAATTGAGAAAATCGTTCCGGGAGCTGGGAGCGTGAAATCGCACCGGGGAAAGCCCCGCCCACCTGCTGATTTCTCTCCTGTGTTAGAGCCCTTTTTCGCCGTTTTCGCGCTTTCCAATGTGGATTTTAGGATTCAGCATGGCGAATAGGCCCCGGTAAGCACAAAATCTCAAAATCGACTTTTTGCCCGGACACTGCCTTTAAGGGCCGCATGCACTATATCCCCGCGAGGGTCGCAGCTTAAAAGAAAGCTTTATATTTCGAAACTCCAGATACCTGGATTTCACGTTGTGTACTATCCGTAAGTATTCCTACTACTCTTCACTATAAACATGTTGAAGAGGAGGGAGATGCTGTACGAACCGCATTTTCCAGCTTTTGTATGATCCCTGATGATCCCCGGCGCTTTTCTTCGAAGTCATTTTTCCTTCTCCGAAGTTGTGCAGATTATCCAACCCGACAGTGCTAAGCATGTTCGTGATAAGAGCAAATGATGTTTTGAAGCCATGAAATTTTCGATGATCCACAGGTCGAAATTTGAGGTTTACCGAAAAATTCGACTTTTCAAAAACTCATTTGTTCTCATCAGCAACATGCTTAGCCTGTTGTGTTAGATGTTTAGTACAGCTTTGGAAAGTTTTCGTTTACTTCGGAGAAAGAAAAATGACTTCAAAGAAAAGCGCCGGGGATCATCAGGGATCATACAAAAGCTGGAAAATGCAGTTCGTACAGCTTCTCGCTCCTCTTCAACATGTTCATAGTGAAGGATAGTAGGAATACTTACGGATAGGTACACAACGTGAAATCCAGGTATCTGGAGTTTCGAAATATAAAGCTTTCTTTTAAGCTGCGATCCCCTCGCGGGGATATAGTGCATGCGGCCCTAAGCCTGTTTAACACGTTTCGGACCGGTGCTGCACATGGTGCAGCACGCGCCTTCGAAGGACCTTTTCAACGTTTACAGGAGGTTTTCTTTTTGTCCAAGGTCATCAAGTCAAAGGCCTAAGCTTCTACTTTTCAGATGACTATGTAAAGTTGTGCAGCCGATATTTGTTTAGGAGACATGAGCACAAATCGAACAGCAGTTGCAACGAAGTGCGGCAGCGCGATCGACGCGTGCGACGTCGCAAATTTTCTTAGCTTTGAATACGAAGGGAAAAACCGTAGTTCTAATAGTAATGTATATCGTGTACAACATAGATACTTTTGGATACAATTAGAAACTGAAATCTTGTTCCTATCTTTCAAGAAAGCACGGAAGTGCTTCTCAAACGACAAAATTCAAACACTTCGAATTCACTCAGGACTCTGGGCATGGATCTTATCTGACATGCTGATTACAGATGTAGCACACAATCTACAAATTAAGGTCCCTTTGCTGGCTAACGGCTGAAAGTACCCTCTTTTTCGCCGCGCGCGATTTCGCGGTCCGAAACGTGTTAATAGAATGTTCTTGCTTCCAATGACAATTATCTTGTCTCAATATTAGCAGAAGCAGGTCGTTCAAGCGGGGACAAGAAACTGACTGTCGATTAGTTTACTTAATTCTTCATTGGCTTTGCTGAGCAGGATGTTGTTTTTTTTTTGGGGCCGAAGTTTACACTGCGTAATGCAGCTGACGATTATGAGCCCTTTCTGATAGTGTTGAAAAAGTGGAGGTCGTAGGTAGTGAGGGAATTGCGTGAACATCTTAAAATTCTATGGTGCGGGACTGCTATGAGATGGCAGTTTTTTAAACCAAGGTCGGAAACGTGATTTTTTGTCGTCAGGCTTGCAAACTATGTATAAATTTTTTAGAACATTCTGGCATAGCATTGTCAGTCCCAAAGCTCGACTTACCAATCCAGCACTCAAAGTGACCACCGAAATCCGAAATGATCGACGGCCACCGTTCTTTATCGCCACTCTTGGTAAAAAGTCTCGTGGTTGAGAAAATTCTCTCATTGTCTAAGTTCAGATACTGGGAAGAAACTCCATTTCAACACTGATAATATGCCCGCTATGGATCTGATAATGCGATTCAACAAGTTGCTTGGAAATCCTGAATTGGGAAAGTCCGGAACTCGACCAAGACCAAAGTTATAGCGTTGTTGTGCGACAAATGTTTGAGCTTTTGTTTTCATTGATCATTCTAGACCTCAATGTGAATAATATAAAACCCTGTTTAGTAAAGTTATTTCAGATGTATTCGTATCTTTTTTTGGTTATATGAAAAATGTCGTTTTGGGTGGTCAACCCTCTTTAAGTAGTTACGGATGTGATTATGGACAATTTGCTTCCTGCTTGCCACATCTCTACTCATGTGTTCATTGCCTTCCCCTTCCCCTTCTCCCCTCCCACTTCTCTCCCCAACGGTAGCGTTTTGAAATCTGTATGTTCTACGAAAATGCTCAGACCTATTTTTGCTTGCGAAAAGTAAATGCGATATTGAGAATATGCAAAGAATTAGTAACTACCATTCATTGAGAAGTTTCAAAAATGATATGTACGCGAATTGGAAGTAGGAACAAAATATGAGATCTGAAGAACTTATGTCTCTTTCCAGGGTTGCGAATGTGGTTGGACATTGTTCGGACACACAGATTTTTTTACCCGCCTGGCTTCAGTGCAAACACGCATAGACAAGTTTGCCATATAGCAACAGGTTACGCCCCGGAAAGTTCTTTTACAATGTTAAATCAAATTCTTAAAAATCTAAAAAATCATTCTAATCACTTGCAGTTGAAAACAAACAAATCATCTGCGTGATTTTATTGTGAGGGTCCACCCATTTCCGGGTATACCCATTGTTTCAACCAGATTGGCTGCTGGAAGGCCGGGCTTCATGACTTAGGAGGCGACTGCTCGCGTTCGCGATGCATCTGCGCCTCCCTCGCAAACGTGCTCTCTGATTATTTTCTAGCCTGAATTAGGTCACAGAGATCCGCTTTTCCGCCGCCGATCCGGTTGAAGCAAAGGGTATCTCAAGAGGCGCGACTTTTATTCTGACCGGACAGCGATTAGCGTATTATCTGTGTTACAACTTTTTAAGTGCATTCGAAATTTGTTGGGAGATACACTAAGTAGCCCCATGAGTTATAGAGTCTTATTCACAAAGTAAATTTGAACCATAATTGTTGAAGAATCAAAAACCCTTGCAAATGGAAATAATCTCAAATTCGTAGATATTTCACTCATTTTTCCATCAGAATTTGTAGAACTTAGTGATCGAACTCAGTGAGCGGCAATTTCAAACAGCTAGTAAGTGATAGCGCTATGCTTGATACTATAAAAGGTCGCAAAACACTTAACGCCTGTGAGTTGATGACCTATACAAAAATCGCGCCTCTTGACCGTCTCCCCCATTCCCACCTCCCCGCCTCCCATAGGACCGCTAACGTCATGCAGGGACTATAAGGCTGGGTAGTTTTTTATTGTCAAGTAGAATGTCGCAGACCTCCCACTTATTCAGTATTTCAAAACAGATTGGCCATTCGAACTGTTAAGAATTCCAAGAATACATTTGTTCCTAGACTTAGTTATAACGTCATTCGTTTCACTACATTTTTTGTTTTGTCTGCGCTTCGTTGCTCCATATGAATAACAAGAGGACTGCCACAATTTTTGTTTCTCTCTTCAAGACGAGAATTGGATTTGCGAACATTTTTCTTGATATGTGCGGCATACATAATACACATTATGAGTAGTCAGACCAACTCATATTGTGCATCTTACTGATGATAACAATGGGTGAATCTATCAACGTAAACGAATTGGCTTGCATGGCTGGTTTACCCTTTAAAATGAGATCAGATCACACTTGTTAATAGATGGACTCATTTTTCCTACTCTAGTACAAATCCTTTGTTTTGGACACTTGCATGATTTTAGTGTTTGGGATTACCCATATCACCCAGCTCGTTAGATATGGCTGCCTCTAACGAGGTGTACTTCATAGTCGTGTGATTATTTTCCAAATACTCCAAAAATATTTTTCAATATTTTTGGAGTATTTGGAAATTTACAACTTATCTGGACAACCTTGCGCAAGAAATCGGTTTAGTCCAAACCAGGTATGCTACGACCACTTCCTCAAAATGCAAAAGTTCTGTGTCTAGTCAGCAGATTGTTGATGTGATGCAGAGTCTGACGAATATAATGTATTCAGTAAGTGCTTTCCAAGCTATATTCTCAGGTATACTGTTAGCCATCAATGCTGTTTATCACACTATTTGCCTTACCCGAGCTTGTGAATGCAGGCTTTATCTTATGTGATGTACGAATTACGAGAAGATTTTGCTTCAACTGATAGCATTATATATTTTTGCGCTCTGTCAGCAAACCGTCATGGCTTTTGTAATATCCTTGGATCTTATGATAGCCTTAATGTTATCAGTGGCGGTCCCAGGATTTCGGACCGGGGGGGGGCCACGGACAAAAATTTTTTTTTAAATGAAGGTGCGTGGCGTCAGCCACGCAATCCGAAAAATTTTTTGGGGTGCTTCTCAAAATTTTTGCGGGTCCCCAACCTCTAAAATCTGGAAAAACCCGGAAAAAATTTTTTATAAGGCTAACTTGAATTTTCAAAAAATTTTAAATTTATTTTAATTATTTATAAAAATAAACAAGTCGTTTGCACATTTTTATAACCCACTAGCTGGCTTACCCGGCTCCGCCGTATCCGACCAAACTTGGCACACATACATTTCGGGCCCCGGCGGGTGTCACAGTCCACTTTTCGTTATCGATCGATGTCGATTTTACCGATTTTTATCGATTTTTTTGCAGACTTCACCTACAGGGCTAGGAGTTGGCACAGGGGGGGAAGTGAGCATGGGGATTCCGAATACAATATTAGTTTTCAGAATTATCGATTACTTTTATTGATTTTATCGATTTTTTGCAAAGTTTGAGCTAGGGGGCTGGAATTTGGTACAGGGGTGTAATCGAGCATGCTGGCTCGATTATTCCCCTTGTTCTCGGCGGCCATTGCTCAGATCGACCTAATTCTTTCATTATCTTTAGAAAAACACTTGCCCTTCAAAACCTATGAAGTCGCACTTGCTGACATCTTCAGCCACCAGATTTATAACAGTGGAATTTCGCATGATTTTTTTGCTATTTTATCATTCGAAATTCTGGTTCTCGGCGGTTACTGCCTAGATCGACTTACTACATAGATATATGATCTCAATACTTTTCTTTTGGTTCCTTTTGCTTATTTTCCTTCTTTTAAGCTTCAACAAAAAAATTCTCTCAAACCCAGAAGTGAAGGTGGTCACCCCGTACCAGCTCAAAAGTGAAGGTAGGCGGAGAACTCGGCTCCGACTATCGCACCTCTGATCGAAAACGACTGTACCTTATTGCTGAGAATGTGAATGCGATTGCTATGAAAACTACTCAGAACGAAAGGAACGTGTGTTTTTCTCACTTATAACTGTGTATCAAAGCGCCTTGCCTATGTTCTTGATGCAGGTTTGCCAACGCCTTCAAAACACCTAACTAAGATAATGAATAATAGATAAATCAGACTTACGAATTCTGCATTGTCGTAAGTTTGGTTTGGGCCAGAGGTGCGATGGGGGGAGCCGGGCCCACCAAAAGTGAAGGTGGTCCCAGCTACCACTGGCCGGCCAAAAGTGAAGGTGGTAGTGCCGGGCACTCATCTCCTAAAACGTCGACCGGGGGGGGGGGGGGAGGCGTTAACGTCTATCCTTCCAGGTCGTTGCCGCCAGTGCGCGGAAAATAAGCAAAACAAATGCAAAAGGGATCATTGAAAGCATGTTTTTATGTATACAGCGTCATGGATTTTCTAAAATAAACGTGCTTATCAAATAGTGTATTTGGAAGTAAAACTCAGAGGAACTGTAAGTATTTTATTAACTAAATTTTCTTATAATGTACCGAAGAAAGTAGATCAATCCAGGCATAACGGTCGAGAACTAGAATTTTGAATAATTAAATAGTGAAAAATCATGCAAAATTTCCACTGTTATAAATCTTCATAGGTGTTGAAGAGTAAATGGTGGCCTATCAGACTGTGAAAGAATCGAGTCGATTTGAAAGATATTCGTTGGAAACCAGGATTCTAAAAATTTACGTCATTTTTGCGTCTTTTTGACAGCTGACAGTTGAACTCATATGAATCTTGAATGTGAAAATGCATGATGTTGCGACTTCATATGTTTCGTAGAGTGAGGTTTTCCTTATCAGTATCTTAGCGGTACCAATCTATTGAAACAGCGCCGAGATCCGGAGTCTTGAAAAAGCAGGTAAAAAAGCGCTTTTTGAAATTCAACAGCTCATAACTTCTTCAAAATTGCATGAATCATGTTGAGACTGTAAAGGTTAGATTCTACTCATCAAGAGCTTTCAGATGATATATAATATGTGGGGGTTTAGGGCCTCCTACGAATTATGCCCGGTGGGGGGGGGGGGCTTTTCATCACAAAGTCTCCCCCTAGCCCACTCTAATGTATTAGACATAATATATATCATCTGAAAGCTCTTGATGAGTAGAATCTAATTTATGAAGTCGCAACATGATTCAAGCAGTTCTTAAGAAGTTATGAGCTGTTGAATTTCAAAAAGCGCTTTTTTACCTGCTTTTTCAAGACTCTGGATCTCGGCGCTGTTCCAATAGATTAATACGGCTAAGATATATTCTGATAAGGAAAACCTTACTCTACGAAACGTATGAAGTCGCAACATCATGCACTTTCACATTCAAGATTTATATGAGTTCAAAGCTGTCAAAAAGACGCAAAAATGGCGTAAATTTTTAGAATCCTGGTTTCCGACGACTATCTTTCAAATCGACTCGATTCTTTCACAGTCTGATAGGCCACCATTCACTCTTCAACACCTATGAAGTAGCAACTGTTGACATCTTCAAACAACAGATTTATAACAATGGAAATTTCGCATGATTTTTCACTATTTAATTCTTCAAAATTCTAGTTCTTGACCGTTACTGCCTGGATTGATCTACTTTCTTCGGTACATTATAAGAAAATTTAGTTAATAAAATACTTACAGTTCCTCTGAGTTTTACTTCCAAATACACTATTTGATAAGCACGTTTATTTTAGAAAATCCATAACGCTGTATACATAAAAATATGCTTTCATTGATCTCTCTTGCATGTGTTTCGCTTATTTTCTTCTCTATTGTCCAGCTAGGAAGTTTTTTATTCAAAAGTGAAGGTGGTGACCCCATACCAGCTCAAAAGTGAAGGTAGGGGGAGAATCGGCTCCCACTATCGCACCTCTGCTTTGGGCCCACAAAACCTCCCCTCTATTAAGGATGCCCGGCGGCGAAAACGGAAGGGGAGGGGGGGTAGAGATGGGTCAGATACACAACTCGATGCCACAAGCAACATTGCGCCAGAAGCTGCCGTTATGTTGGCTGAAGTACGTCGCGGGGTTGCTTTGCGAAAAATTCGCGCCGATTGTA